CCCCCCCCCCCCCCCCCCCCCCAGAGTCAGCGCAGACACTCGCGACGCCGTGGACCAGGGCGCTGAAACCAATCATCCGGTTTCAGAAGGGAGATGGGTAGGGATATGTGGTGTTTGAAGTCCAGGGCGCTTAATGGGGTGTTCGCGCCGTGGTTGGTTGGTGGGGCCGATGGGCGATGGGCGATGGGCGGGGCGGGGGATAGTTGTACCGGTACCGGTTGGGTGTCAGTGGTTGAGATGGGGAAGGGTCCGCAGGGCTGGTGGCGCGCGTGTACCGGTAGGGTCATGGTACGGGACATGAGGATGTTACTAGGTACCGTGTATGTATGTACCATGTTCCACCGCTGCTGTTGTTAATGTTAAACCACACGAGAGAGGGGAGGGGTACCGTAAGCGTGCTTGAGGGACTTTTTTCTCTCCTATCACTGTGGGCCCTGGGGGTGAGGAATGTGGAATCTGCAATGCGATAAGGTTGTGGATATCTACTGTACGGTATACCTACACATGGTGGAGTGATGACCTATGTTGCATACATGCTGCATACTGTACATGGCAGTCTACAGTACCACCGTGAAAATCCTCCATCTCTTCGCCGTCTCTATCGTGATACCAAATTTCTTAGTCCTGCTACCTGTCTACTCCATTGACAACCCTAGGCTCGCTCGTACTCGTCAAGCCTTCTCCAACCGGGAGAAAATTTACTTTCTTACAAAATCTACTCGCCATTTATAAAAACGCGTAAGCTGTAAGCGCTACTCTACACTCCTACACCGTAGCCTCTAGCGTACATATAACAGACACCGTACCAAGCAACCCACCAAGCAACTTACAATCCCACCCCACCTCACCCATCCTCTGTTCCTATGCAAAACGCTACTACATCTCGACAGACGTGTCTGTACAACTACTGCACCCATGTCTAGTGAACTCTTGCGTTCTACGCAATGCGCGTGGTTACCATGTGTATTGCAATCCTCGGGATATCTACAGCGAGAACTACCGTATTCCAGACTCCAGAGTCAAGGAATCCAGAACACATTGGTGCCAAAATGCCAATGCTGGGTACCTAGTCCCATGTTGCCATGCGGTTAGCCCTTCTTCATGTTAAATCTACATACCGGTACACTTCCCTCGCCCATTCATACATCTCACATGGACTTGCTATGTACGCTCCCTCAACTCGAGTCTACAGTTCAGACCACCCCTCCTCTTTCCTTCGCTCCTCTCCTCTCCAGTCTTCTCTTCTCCATCACCTTCAACTCCTCACCCCAAAACCTAACCCCACCACCACCACCACACTCTCCCCATCTCACCTCACCTCCCACTCCCACTCCCACTCCCAAACACAATAGCACCTACACCTATATCACCTCTACCTATACCAAACACCCCAGCCCACACTCCCGCCCCACCAAGCCTCAACCCCTGCAACCCCCTGTACATACCGGTATGTAGGTAACCCCTGCTCCTGCAAACCCCTGCAACTCCATCCGCCTGGGCCCGAGACATCTTGTCACGCAACCTCTTGTCACGCAACCTCTTGTCTGCCATATGACATGTGCATGTGCGTGTGCGCATGAGAGTGAGGGAGAGAGTGAGGGAGTGAGGGTGAAGGTGTGAGTGCGCGATAGAGGCGAGGAAGGGAATAGGTCGCAAAGAAAATAGCGCACATAACCCGACATGTATTTCCAACGCGAGTATATAGTTGGATTTAACCTTGAAAGGCCGATTACACCATAGCTTGGCGATTGATCTTGTTCAGTGTGTAATGTGCAGTTAGCTGTGAGCCGCGAGTCCAAATGCAAGGGGCATTTCCCACCAGCACACTTTCCCAAAGCAAGAGGGAGGCAAGAGGCCGAGTATTTCTCTATCGAGTATGTAACACATGCCATTGATTTGATAAATTTGATATAAAAACAACACAACCAAACGCCGCAACAGGAAGGAGGAGGAGAAGAAGAAGAAGAAGAAGAAGAAGAAGAAGAAGAAGAAGAAGAAGAAGAAGAAGAAGAAGAAGAAGAAGAAGAAGAAAGAAGAAAAGTGAAATGCCTTTGTCTTTGTCTGTGCGGTGTATTGTATGCTATGCAAGTATTTTTACATATGCGGAAAAAGAAAAGCAAGGGAGCATAGAAAAACCCAATACCATGATCCAACGTTACAAAATGAAAAAGGTATCCAAGAAGCTAGGTAGCTTACTAGGAATGGGGGGAAATGCATATGCAAATGCAAAACTGGCAAAGGAAAAAAAAATTGTCGCGTGGACGCATGTATCCAACGCCGGACCCAACCCATAAGAGAGAGATGGGACAGAAAAAAGAACAATAAACGCCCCCGCTGAACAATATACCAAAGGGGGAAAAGGAAAAAGGAAAAGAAAGAAATATGCAGAGATGCAAAGAATTCAACAAGTGAGTGAGCGCGCAATCATCATCATCAACATCCCCAACCCCCTTCAACCTTCCAACTCTTCTTCTCCCGCCCTACATCTTCTCATCACCCTCCTTTCCCA